TCTACCCTATTTCTACCATGTTTTCACTTATATGGATTTGGTTTTCCATCTCCTTCTTCAGTTCCTACAGGTATAGTAGATAATATCTGTGGTCATTCCTGAGTTCACTGTTAGTGTCTTTATGCTACAGATTAATTTCCCAGCCAAGTTTTAGATTATTCTATATGTTTTCTCAATAGGTTTCAAGTTTTTTGGAGGGTTTTTTTCTGTTGATGACCTAAAAACTTCCCTTTAGGAAGGGAAGGGGAACAACAGAATGGTGAGATAAAGAACCATGCAACATTGATATACACAAGACAATATGTTGGAAATGATCTGTACAACTTAGGGCTTGGGTAAAGTAGGAGGGGTGAGAGAAAGTAGGAGAAAAATGAGGGAAGGGGTAACAAGTTTAACAAGAAATGTACTTATTACTTTATGTATGTAACTGTAACCCCTCTGGACATCACTTTGACAATAAAATAATAAAAAAAAATTTTTTAATGTCCCTTTAGGTCTCCTGCCTCCCTCCCTTTTCCCCCCTTCCTCTCCCTCCCCTCTCTGCATATGTTGATATTGGGGCTTAAACTCAGGACCTCACATTCTTCCTTGGTTGTTTTAGCCCATGGCTCTCTGCCTCTAATTCTGGCCTTTTACTTGGACATAAGAGTCTCAAAATTTTGTCTGCCTGGAATGGCTTCAAAATGGGATCTCAGTTCTCAGCATTCTATGTAGCTAGGATTGTAAACTTGAACCATTGGTTCCTAGCTAGGCACCAACTCTTAAATGTTCTACACCACCTCCTATCACAGCTGTCCAGAAGAAAATGTTCCATAACCTGAACGCACTTGAACCATATCTAAACCCTAGCAGTAAATTATGTTGAACAGTGGGTGGATGTGTAAAGCATCTTGCTTTACTGTAATGAGAGAGATGAACAAAATTAGGATTTGGGGAGATTGGAAAAGACAGCATTAATTGAGGCAACTTACCATATTGAGTGTAAACCATAGTCCAAGCTTTTAACCCACAGAAACACAATAAGGGGATCCAGGATCTGCCTTGATATTGTATTCAGCCTTAGGGTCTGCATTTGGGGGCTGCAAATCAGCTGGCAGCCTAATGGGAAAAAAAGACAAAGTTGCTTTTTCCCACCAGATGCAGCTGTGGTGTGTTCAGTAATGGCAACCTTTCTTTGTAACTAGAGATAAATATTTACCCACCAAAGGTAACAGAAATGAGGAGTTGGAATTGACTTTAGGGCATATAGAGCTCTATTGAGATATTGGAACAGGCACAGGCTGAATTGACAGAAAGCTCCTTAAGAGGATTGAATGGAAACTATATTTTGCAGAGGCCCTGTTCAATAAAGGAAGTTTATCTAAGATTTAATTTTGCATATTATTTAGATAAAATATTTTTGCTTGAATATATTCAATGCCACCTCTGTGTGTCTAAGTGCATTCCACATTTTCCCTGACAGTTGTGTTTTATGCACTAACAATAATCCTGAAAGAAAATTAAGAAAACAACTCTAGTTATAATAGCTTCAAAGTATAATGAGGAATTTTATTGCATTAAAATACAACATTTTAAATAATAACTGGAATTATGACTAACAGTATGCCATTTTTCTTTATTAACAGCTAGAGAATTATCATTTTATGACTCTTGAAATATTTATGTTAATACTATTAAATCATGCAAATATAACCTAAGAGAGGTTAAACTACTCTTCTTAATAGATGATGCTTTTTATGTCAGTCAACACATCAAATATAGTGAATTATTACTATTTTCTTTGATGTCTATCTTTCTACAAAGATAAATAACAAACCTTTAAGTTTTTTTTCAGTGCCCTATGAGAAATATCCAAATCACTTCAAGATTGATATTTTATCATTTTTGAAAGAAGAGAAAATGTCATCTATCAGTTATACTTTTAAATCATTAGCAACTCTTATTTTACTGAGAAAACTAATGTATAAACAATTGTGAACTGTTTTCATATTCCAGCATTCTGTAGAGGATTAGCAAGTTTTGTGAATGTATCATCTTCAAATCTTGTAAATATATATGCTTCTTTATAGCAAAAGAAAAATTAATATGGCAAAATAACATACTTCTTTTCAACAGATCCATATATTCTCAGTTTCTTTGTAAGAAGAAGAAATCAACAAAATATAAGCTTAAATCAGATTTTATTTGACTTAGACGGTATCTAGAAATTTTAGGAATATCTGAGGCTTAACATTGTATTAGCTGGAAGTAATCATAAAATATTTGGAAGCTATTTTTAGATAAATTTATTATAAAACAATTATTATTTAAATAACTTGTCAAAATGTCTGAATTTTATTAAAGTCATTAACTTAAACATCGAGCAAATAAAACATTAGTATATTTGACTAGTAAACTCAAGTAGAATACAAACATATGCTACATCATACTCAATGCTAAGAACTCATAAGACAGCTTGCTCTCTCTCTCTCTCTCTCTTTCCTTCTGTCTGTTCATCCATTTGTCCACCCATCCATCTCTAAGTTATCCAGTCTTATTTACCAACTCTTTTATTTATTAAAGATTTATTTAACATTTGGGTTCTTCTTTTAAAAAAACTGGTGCAGTTTAATTTGTTTTGCTTATAGCAAAGCATTTTGTGAATACAATGCCATCTTGATCAGTGTATTTTGAGAATATTAGGGATATTCAATTTGCATAAGCACAGATTTTGCTCTAATTAATTGAAACAGAATTTATTCCTTTATTAATAATACCCCAAGTAGTGATAAAGAAGTAGGGAAATATCATATATAAATAATATCTATGGTACATGTCTACTTAAAATACAAAGGCAGATACAAATGGGAATCTTACAGCTTTTATTCTAAAAGTTTTAGCTGTGATCCAGGTATAAAAATACATTCTCTCTCTCTCTCTCTCTCTCTCTCTCTCTCTCTCTCTCTCTCTCTCTCTCTCTCTCTCTCCCCCCCCCCCTCCCTCCCCCATAGTAAAGAGAAGGTGAGAGAATATGTAGAAACTTCATGGAAGGAATAGTCTTGAAGTAGGGTCTTGAAAAAAGTCATAATTCCAACAAGCAGACAGATAGTCATCTAAGCTGGATTAGGATCATTAGAAATGACAGAAGTGAAGGGAAGGCAAGAGAGGCAATGTGATACAGTGGCTTTTACCTGGACTTTGGAACCCAAGAGTCCATTCTCCTTCTAACACTTAACTAGCCTAGAAACCACAAGTTCTCCATCGAAAAAATGGGAAAAATACTTACCTCATAGAACATTTGTGACTATTGGGTTTGTAGGGAGAGTCTGGGGCACATATGTATTCCATAAATGCTATTTTTTTTATTTTCTAGGAAATAATAGGTTTCTAGTTTCTCAGGAATGAAAGGTAGAAAAGAAATTTGACCTAGGAGTTTTTATAGAGAGAGTTTTTTGTTTTGTTTTGTTTGGCCAGTCATGGGCCTTAAACTTGGGTCTTTACAGAGATTTTTAAAGAAACACATAATTGGGGCTGTGGAGGTGGCTCAGTGTTAGAGTGGTTGCCTTGCATGCATGAGGCCCTGGGTTTGATTCCTCAGCATCACAGAAGCAGAAAAAGCTGGAAGTGGTGTTGTGGCTCAAGTGGTAGAGTGCTATCCTTGAGCTGAAGAGCTGAGGGACAGCGCCCAGGCCCAGAGTTCAGGTCCCACGACCAGCAAAAAACAAAATAAAACAAAAAAGAAACACATAATTATTGTTATGTTTGAGCAAAGAGTAACTTATTTAAATCAGTGAAATAGAGCCCACAGAATTGCATGTTAATAAATTAATATTAAGAATCAAAGGTCTGTATTACTCCTTTGTTAGAAGCCATTTAGAACATTTTACATGCTAAGTATCATGAATACATAAGAGTTATTTGTGGCCTCCAAACTAGAAATGGGGTTTTCCTACATTTTATTGATTTTTAGTGCATCTTTTCGTCCTGTGGCTGTAACCCACTTGCATTTCTAGTGAATTTCTACTCACATTCATATATATGCTAGTTTATAATCACTGATAGGGTGCTATTCTTTCAAAGTACCTATACATAGCCTGAATATCCATTGGCAATAAAAGAAAACTGCAAAGTATAACATTTATTCTCATTATTATCCCGCCTTATCTGTCCCTATCAGAAGAAGTTATTCTCCTCCTTTTTCTTTCTGACTTTCACTCTATCATTATGATGTCAGAAAGGTTTCCTAGAAGAAGTTGTACGGCATTTAAGTCCTGACTTGTCATTCTCGATCCTGGATACCAGTTTTTCATGCATGGAAGAAATGGATCTGTGCCTCTCACATCAAATAGAATTATCCTTTATTGAAACAGCTGTTTCTTATGGACAATGTACATTATGAGACAATGCTTCTTAGCATCTGGAATCATTCTTTCTTCTTGAATTAAAAATAAGATGCAGCATAAATTACTGGGCTAAGGCCGTCATGGTGTGTCTATAGGGATAGTATTTTTGGTAGCTGGGAAATATTACACATGTAATGTTGCATACCAATTAGTTGTATTAAAATATGTATTATGCACAGCTCTGTGTTTGGTTTTCAAAGTTTCCTTGACAACATCACTTAACTTCTTACTGTTCTTTTCATGTTGCTAGTATAAATATCTAATATGTTTTTGTTCAAAACATCAATTAGGCTTCAGTATAATCTTTATTAATACAGATGTGTTATTACAAGAAGACTGCTGAGCTATGATAATTTGCACAGCAGGAGCAATAAGATATCTTCTCTTTTACTATATCTGAGACTGCTGTTTTCTTGTTTTTCAAAGCACATATCCCAAACCTTCCATGATATCTTGCACAATTTATAGTGAAATCATTAAAGCTTATATAAGCAAGAGCATTATTTTCTCCTATGATGAACACAAATTGGAAAGGTCCCAAATTGCAGGTAGATTGAAAAAGATACCTGTTAGTTCAGATCTCCACTTTTAATACCTTGATTTCTTTTCTTCATGTAGCCAGAACTCCCCATTTCCTGCGGATTCAGAATGTGGAGGTGAATGCTGGCCAGTTTGCCACCTTTCAGTGCAGTGCCATCGGCAGGACTGTGGCAAGCGACAGGCTTTGGCTACAGGTATAGTACACCACAACTCTAGCTTTAAGCTGAATCACCCTGGAGAGGGGATCCTGAGACATGCAGTCTGGTCAGGGCATTGTTATATGACTTGCCAGACTCCTAGGGGTTCTGCATAATAAGCGACTCATTTCCCTCCTCAAATATTTTCTGAACGCCTTTTATCCCTTTGTTTTCACTTAATTTCTTTCGGCAGATTTTGTGGAAAAATTACTTTTCACTATTAAATCCAAATATCCAAATTATAACACCTTTCCCCTTTTTTCCTTAAAAAAATATCTAGAGCTTCTCACTTTATTCAGATACATGAACATGCACACAGTATGCCTTTATTTTATTTATTTATTTATTAGTCATAGGGCTTGAACTCTGGGCCTGAATGCTGTCCCTTAGCTCTTCATCTCAAGGCTAGCACTCTACCACATGAGCTACAGCACCACTTCTGGTTTTCTGGTTTATTGGAGATAAGAGTTTCACGGACTTTCCTGCCTGGGCTGGCTTTGAACTGTGATCCTCAGATCTCAGCCTCCTGAGTAGCTAGGATTAGAGGCATGAGACACCAGTGCCCAGCAATATGCCTTTATATAACTTGGAGTTCCAAGCAATTCACTTTAATATAGAAATGAGTAACACGTCTTTTAATTTCAAATTTTAAAGTATACAGTAAATGTTTTTTCATGCATTTTATTGTTATTATAAAGGTGACATACAGAGGGGTTACAGTTATGTAAGACAGATAAAGAGTACATTTCTTTTTGAAAAATATCACCCCTTCCCTCACTCCTTGTCTTTCCCCTTTGTCCCCACCCACAAGCTGTATAGTTCATTTTCAATGTAATGTCTAGTCAGTACTACTACATTTTTCACCTTTTGTTCTCTACTTCTGTGTCCCCCTTTACCCTCCTAAAGACAGAGGGACAAAAGAAAAAGACATAAAGGAAAACAAAAGCAGCAACAAAGGAAAAAAACCCTCTTGTTTCCATATCCTGGACATTTCAATAAATATTAATTTTTATGGTTAGATGCACATAATGTTATTTTATTTATTTATTTATTTATTTTTGGTCAGTCGTGGGGCCTGAACTCTGGGCCTGGGCGCTGTCCCTCAGCTCTTCAGCTCAAGAGTAGCACTCTACCACTTGAGCCACAGCACCACTTCCGGCTTTTTTCTTTTTTCTTATTGGTGCTGAGGAATCGAACCCAAGGCCTCATGAATGCAAGGCAAGCACTCTACCACTGAGCCACCTTCCCGCCCCTAACCGTTTTTTTTTTGTGCACATAATTTTAATACATCTTGAGTGAATTGTTGTACAGTTTTTTCATCCTGTATACTTCACATGACAGTTTCATGAACCTCTCCTCTCTTCTCCCATACCTTCTCTCTACCTCCTCTCTCCTCCACTCCTGTTTCTTAGCCCTTACTCAAGTTTGGCCTGAGCTGTACTGCTGAACACAACCTAGGCTTTTAAGCACAGTTATTTTATTAATTAAAAGATTGACTGTGGTACTGCTCTGTACTCATCTTCATATTTCAGCCCTTCTGCACGTACTATTCAACACCACCTCAGGTTTCCCTGTCCCATGCTTTTTCTTGACATCTGTCACCTCTCTGTTTCATCACACTTTTTTCTGGTGTGACATGATGATTGTGATGTGTTACATTATAAGACACTAACTTTTAAATGCTTTGTTCTTTATAATTATTACTAAAAAAAGTATCCTATTTATTGCTGTGTTTCTGAGGAAATGGGAGACAGCTAATTGTACTTAATGGATTGTCAGATAGAGCTCTGTTTTGGAGAGGAGTCCTCTTGAATATGGTTTGTCCTTCACACTGGGTGTCTCACGCTTTGCCTGATGTCACTCTAATATCCTAACCCTGTTTGAGATAGGAAAGAGGAGTTCATTAAAAAAACTGAAACTATATGTTTTAAGTTTAATTTTACTTTTCCTTCTTTTTTTCTAAAAGTTTTTAATCATTACTTTAAGACTTTTTTTTGTCAGTACTGAACATTTTCCCCCATTTGATTCTACTTTTCAGTTATTTTAAATTCCTGATGTTAGGGATCAATTCATTATTTTTCAGATAGTGAATGTATAAGTGCTATTCAGATTGACCATCTGGTGATGAAGGATAAAACAGAGTGTTTTACTTAAAATTACTTTCCCTATACAGAATTAACTACTTTTAAAAAGTGAAACTATTTATCTTTAGTGTTCTTTTTTAGAAAATTTAATTTTTTTGGGGGGGGGGGTCCGGTCATGGGGCCTGAACTCTGGGCCTGGGTGCTGTCCCTCAGCTCTTCAGCTCAAGGCTAGCACTCTACCACAGTGCCACTTCCGGCTTTTTTCTTTTTGCTTATGTGGTGCTGAAGAATCGAACCCAGGGCCTCTAGCATGCAAGGCAAGCGCTCTACCACTGAGCCATCTTCCCAGCCCCAGAAAATTTAATTTTTATGGAAAAATCTGTTTTTGTTTGTGTGACTATTTGGCATTTAGGTAATGTAAACTCTCTATTCATATATTCATCTGAAATATACCTCAGAGTTTACTACATGTTGAGAAGATGTTTGTCCTTTTTTAAAAATTTGTTTTGGTAGATGTTCTGAACTTGAAATAATATTGCTTAAAGTTGAACATTTATTTAGGGTTGGTAATCTTCAATTGTTTCTTATTACAGTTGGATATTTTGTTTTAGTTGGATATTGAATTTTCAACCCTGCCTCCACGGAAGTTTTTAAAGAATGTTTTGCCTTTTTATAAGTTCTCATTTAACTGATCTGGGCATCCAGCAAATCAAATGCCTGAAGTGAAATACAACATATATTATAAATTGGGAGAGAAAAAGCCAAGCATAATATCCTTGGGTGACTGGTCCAGGAACCCTGTGGATGCTACAATTCTTAGGTGCTCAGGTGGCTTTTGTATAATTGTATAGCACTTGTATATATTATACTATGAACATCCTCTTATTCACTTAGATAATTTTTAAATGACATACAATGTGTAATAAAATGTAACAGAAGTATTTGTTATTCTGTATTATTTAGGAAATTATGACAAGAAAAATATTCTATACCTTTAAATGAGTAGGCTTATTTTTTCCCAAATATTTTGATCTGTGGTTTGTTGAATCATTGGGGACAGATCCAGTATTTGTGAGCATAGATGTTGGTAATTCATTTCCACTAGATCTATTGACTCTTTACCTTCCCCACTTTCCAGGCTTTTTGGCCCTCTGTGTGTTGTCCTGCAGTTTACCTCAAATCTAGGTTAAGAGGAGGATACTATAGATGCATTTGGATTTTAAGAGAATCTTAGCTTATCCTGCACTGAGTATGCTGTTTGGTTAGTGAACCATTGTGATGTTGGAAAACCTTCTAATTTATTTGCCCTGGATGAGTAGTCACTTTGTGAAAGGGTGCTTATTTTATTAATAGCTCCTAATAGAAGACCAAAGTCCTTTACTTACAAGGAGTGTTTTATTGATCTTCATTACTTAAGTGGTTTCCAGCAAGGGTAAAGATGTCCTGCTCTCTTGTCCACCACTCTCAGCCCTTGGTCTCAGGCCAGTCCTTAAGAATTGGAGACAGATGTAAATCTCTAATCATAGATTACTCTAAAGAAGGAAGGCTAGGCCTCCTCAACCCCAAACCCCAAATGTTCCCAAATCTTGAGCTTCTGATATGTTAATATCAGAATATAATATAATACCATAAATAGAAAATTCCACACCATTAAACTATTTAAACATTCACAAAATTATTTATAGTGCTGAGGCTTCAAGGGCTTTATCACTGAGTCGTACTCTCCATACACAGAATTATTAAAAGTGTTTTATAAAATTACCTTCAAGTCATGTGTATCAAGTATGTCTGAAATGTAAATGAACTTTGCGTTTAATAAATTATACATATATATATATGTATATATTCAAAATCAGAAGGACTCTTCAATCTGAAATACTTTTCCTAAATATTTCTGATAAAGAATACTTAACCTGCAACATGCTAATGCTTTTACAGTAGCAAAATGCATTTTTGCACATAAACCCACTTGGGTCCTTAACATAATTCTGAGATGCTGGAAGACAGCTTAATGAGAAGAAATATATTTCATTTTTCTTTCTCTGATGTGAATCTCCCTTTGATTTCAAAATTCGTAATGCATCCTTAATCTGAGAGGCTTCAGTGCTTTTATTATAGTCACCTGTAAATGTGTCATTACATGTTTTATACTCATGAGCCCAGTCATAGGCATTTGTCAAGGAGTTTTGCAGGTGTTTGTTGTGTCTGTTTTATAGATGAAGAGCTTGAGGGTCAGGATTAACCTGGGTCACAGAGGGAACTGGCATGATTAGGAATAGTCTAACCTTCTGTCTCTACCTGTGCTTCACACTTATTAATTGCACCATGCTGTCCGGAAGGAAGGTGAGGTGACAATATGTACTGAACACTTTGTGAGAGGAATCAGGTTCTGACCAGCTGACATAATTAACATCTGCACATAGGAGAAGTTCCCATGTTTATATCATGAATATATTGATCCCTACCTGAACATAGGAGAAGTTCCCATTTATGTCACGAATATTTTGATCCCTACCTATAAGAAATGGTTAGGAATTTGAGTGTTTGAAATGTAGTTTAAATAAATTCTTGTAGTCTTCATAAAATCATATTATGAATAAATCTGATAATGACACCAATGGAGAAATGTTTATACCTAGCAGATGTGTCCCATCTGCTTCTGTTTTTCCATTGCATCTGTGGGCTGCACAGGTTAGTGCCAATGTGGGAGTTTTTTTTCTTTAAACCATGCACAACAAAATTAAACTCAGTGCATGAAGATCCATTGTTACACCTGCAATGTGCTTAGAACACATTGCAGACAGTCTACTGTGGGAAGACATAATTTATAGGACTACTTTCTGGCAGTGCAAAACTGATAGGCATTGAAGTTCTAATATTATCAGACATGGTAATCTGTATGAGATACTAAAA